TGCTTTGGTAGATTCTTCCCTCCCCTCCCTTTTATTTTGCAATGAATGGTGTGATTTCCCCTCTTGTGCATGTAGGAGATGGGGTCTCCTTGAAATTACCCCCCAAGCAAACTGATTGCATCTGGACTCTTTATCCAATTTGCCCAGTCCTGGTGTCTTTTAAATTTGGAGATTTAAGGCATTTAGTCCATTTACATTTAAGGTTAATATTGTTATGTGTGAACTTGATCCTGTCATTGTGGTATTAGCTGGTTATTTTGCTCGTTAGTTGATGCAGTTTTTTCCTAGCATCGATGGTCTTTACATTTTAGCATGTTTTTTCAATGGCCGGTACCGGTTGTTCCTTTCCATGTTTAGTGCTTCCCTCAGGAGCTCTTGTAGGGCAGGCCTGGTGGTGAAAACATCTCTAAACATTTGCTTCTCTGTAAAGGATTTTATTTCTCCTTCACTTATGAAACTTAATTGGGCTGGATATGGAATTCTGAGTTGAAAATTCTTTCCTTTAAGAATGTTGAATGTTGGCCCCCACTCACTTCTGGTTTGTAGAGTTTCTGCTGATAGATCTGCTGTTAGGCTGATGGGCTTCCCTTTGTGGGTAACCCGACCTTTCTCTCTCGCTGCCATTAACATGTTTTCCTTCATTTCAACTGTGGTGAATCTGACAAATATGTGTGTTGGAGTTGCTTTTCTCAAGGATTATCTTAGTGGCATTCTTTGTATTTCCTGAATTTGAATGTTGGCCTGCCCTACTAGGTTGGGGAAGTTCTCCTGCATAATACCCTACAGAGTGTTTTCCAACTTGGTTCCATTCTTCCCGTCACTTTCAGGTACACCAGACAGATGTAGATTCGGTCTTTTCACATAGTCCCTTATTTCTTGGAGGTTTTGTTCATTTCTTTTTACTCTTTTTTCTCTAAACTTCTCTTTATTTTTTGTTTTTAATGAGATGGAGTCTCATTCTTTCTCGCAGCCTGGAGTACAGTGGCACGATCTTGGTTCACTGAAAGCTCTGCTTCCTGTGTTCATACCATTTTCCTGCCTCAGACTACCGACTAGCTGAGACTACAGTTGTCCATCACCATACCCAGTTATTATTATTGTTATTTTGTATTTTTAGTAGAGACGGAGTTTCACGATGTTAGCCAGGATGGTCTTGATCTCCTGACCTCCTGATCTTTCCACCTCGGCCTCCCAAACTGCTGGGATTACAGATGTGAGCCAAGGCACCCAGCCTTAAAGAGAAAAATTTCTAAACTTTACTTTCTAACATAAATATTTGGTAGGCAAGCATTCAACAGAATGGTTGTTCAATAATCTGTGATTATTTTGTTACAAAGAGTGAAATTTCAGACTCATCACATTGATTTTTCCTGGGTCCATGTGGATATTAAAGTACTTACGTAAGCATTTTGGTGGATCTGACCATTGTCCGTTTCTACATGTTATTCGCTTGTTACCCTCAAGTTGATACAAGTCCTGGCATTTGTACTCAACTGATGAATCTGGAGCATATACTGACAATGGGAATGAAGTAGTGTCTCCATTGTCAATAGGCGGAGGGGGCCCACATTTTCCTGTAGAATCTAAAAAACATCATTTCATCATTTGATTTATTATGAGAGAAAATCAAACTATGAGTTCAAGTAAGGCAAATACAAACACAGCACTTTATATAATATCAACAGTTTTACGATTTCTGGTGAAAGAAATGAATCCTGGAAGAAATTTTAACCCTTTAAACTGGAAGTAATGTATTTAAGTTCTTTTCTCCTTACTGAAAGAACAATAAAACATTACCAAATATTGCTCCTTACAGTAGAAAAGGATTAAGAAATGTCTTTCTGAATGAATATATGTTAAACATAGAAAACTATGACAGAGGAAATTTCTTATTTTATATTCAACATTATTTGGAGTAACACTAAAGGACAGAGGTTTTTAAATTGATAATGGTTTTTAAAAATCCCATATGAATTATAAAATGGAAAAGTATGATAAACATTCTTTAAAAACAATGAATATACTTAATAATACATTGGGAGCTGACAGACAAATAAATCATTGAATTTGAACAAAGAGCAATATAGATATCCTGCTCCAAAAATAGACTGAAAACAAAAAACTGAGCTGAGACATTCAGAAAAATACAAAAACAAATAATGCAGATGCAGAAATAGAAGAGAAAGAATATTGGGCTGGAAAAATGCATAAATAAAGTGATGTCTGAAAACTTCCCATTTTTACCATAAGGCATAAACTTATATTTAAGAAGTTGAGTGAACTCCAAAGATTATAAACACATTGGAATTTATAGCAGTATACATTTAAAAAAAAAAAAACTACTTAAAAAAAAGAAAAAAATATTGAAAGCAACTATACAAATCTATGCCTTTCCTTGAGGGGATCAACAATTCCAGTGATGGTGAGCTTTTCATCTATAACCATGTGGTACAGTTTTCAAGTGTTTAAAGAACTGTCAACTTCAAATTTTATATCTAATGACAATATCCTTTACAAGTCAAGGGGTAAATACAGACATTCTTAGAGACAAGGAAACCAGGAGAATTTATCTCCAGTAGTTCTATGCCTAAAGATTAATAAAGGAATTCTTCAAATTAAAATAAAATGATAAAAGTAAGAGTTTGAGACTTTAGGATACTGAAAAAAATAGAATATTACAATAGATAAAAAGAGGAGTCAATATAACAGGATATCTTTTTCCTCATAAATTTTTTCCATTATGTTTGATGTTTGAAGCAAATGAGTTTAATATGGTGCTCAATGTATGTACAGAAAATACTAATGGCATTTATACTTAAAATGTGGAAAGTATAAATGGATCTACATGAAAATATGGTTTCCGTATTCCAATTGAAGATTTTAATGTCAGTACCAGTAGAGAGTAATATATTATTACATGTATATAGTATTAGCTAGAGCAACAATTTTTTAAAAGGGGGAGAAAAGCTATACAGGAGATACAATCAAAAACAATACACAATATATATGAATCAAAATTAATCTCCTTAATAATTTTCCCCGGACAGAAGAATAGGGAAATAGAACTGAAACTGAGAGGAAAAAGACAGAAACAAATAAATGACAGGGGCTTAAGTCTTATGTATCAATAATTATTCTAAGTATAAATGGTCCAAGTGCATCAGTTAACAGATGACAAATGGAAGACTCACTTCAATATAAAATATAGGTAGAGTCTAAGTAAAAGAGTGAAAAAAAACATTAATTTTAAAAAACAAAAGTGGGTAAGATACAATTTCCTTTGTTGGTTTCCCTTACTTTATGTCTACATATTAGAATGACCCAGGAATATGTGATTAGACTTTTTTTTATAAATACAGTCAGTCACACACCTTGAAATAAAATCCCTATACTGAAGATGCCCATATTTATATCACAATCTATGATCTCTCTTCAACTGCCTATTCCGTATCTTAGAATGCACACCACTTATGACTGTCAAATGCACATAATGTATCTTTCATTACATGTATTCCTGAGAAGAGCTAAGTGTTGTAATGCTTAAGATACTTTTTTTTTCAGGTTCCAAATCTTTTAATTTGGCCGAATCTTTCTCGAAAATAATATACGCTATTACTTATGCTCTGTTCACAAGAAGAATTGAATTTTAAGCACCATCAATCATTTTATTTGCATTTGAAAAATCTATTAATAAAAATTACTTCTTTTTATTTAAATCAACATATTTTAACCTTGCTATACTCCCCCAAAATATTAAAGGAAATATAATACTCTACCTTTGCATTGAGGTGGCTCTGTCCAGTTTCCATTTACACACATCACTTCTTCATCTCCAAACATTTCATAAGGGCTCTTACATTCATAACGTACTCTCTCACCAGATGCATATTTACTCATCTGTCTTGACACTATATGAGCATTTTTTACTGTGGGCGGATCTGCACAGGAAGTGTCTGAATAGGAAAAAAGAAGTGGTTCCACCTCGTGTTCGTTTTGAGTAGCAAATCAACTAATACAATTACAAATATATTTCAAGATAAATTTAAAATAAGTAGATAATGTCTTATCAAATATTTTGTTGATTTTGATAAATTTAAATGCAACATTGAGGAAAAGACATAAAACTATTTTTTGTAAGCTACAAGCTTTGATGTTTTAAATTTCTTCTTTTTTTTTCCTTCTGGAAACCTGTGTAAATGAAAGTTTTCCTGGATATCTCTCTTTAAGTTTGAGTACAACAAATATTATCATTTCTATTTATTTAACTAATTCATAAAATGCAAAAAAGTCAGCATATACAGATTATGTGGTATTGGATTGTGCTTTGCAATCATCCTGCTTATACATTTTAGCCTCTTAAAAATAAACACAAATAGACATTTTCTTAGCGAATAAGCAAAGAATTAAAAACACATTTTGAAAATGACCCAAGTTAAAAGAGAGGAAGGATGGTTAATCAAAGGATCCAAATTGGAGATGTGGAAAAATAAAAGAAAATAAGTCTACAATAATAAAAATAACTTCAGATAATTTAATTGCCAATGAATAAGGATACTATGCTGAACAATGCAAAATTCATCAGAGAGTTTCACGTCCATGTGTAGTAATAACAGGCTATAGCAATGCTTCTCACACAGAAGTGTGCATAGAATTCCCTCGAGGGGTTGGTAAAACAGTTTCAGGGTTCTATTTCGAGACTTTTGATTCCGTATGTCTAGAATGAGCTCATGGAATTTTACTTTCATTTCAAACAATCTCCAAGAGGGTGATGATGCCACCGGTTTAGCAACCACACTTTGAGAATTATTGAGCTAAGATTAATCATCAAATACTCAGTTCCATCTTTTTATTTTTAGGCATATGCCCACTTTGTCCTGCCCTAAAAAACTTAATTTATGTCCATTTTAATGATGTTAGAGGCAATTCTATATTTTATTGCCTAAGACAGCCTTGTAAATAAATTGTACTTATATATTTATTTATATATATATATTTATTTTTTGTAGATGGAATCTCGCTCTGTCACCCTGGGTGGAATGTAGTGGTGCAATCTTGGTCCACTTCAATCTTCACCTCCCTGGTTCAAGTGATTCTCCTGCCTCAGCCTCCTGAGTAGCTGGGACTTCAGATGCATGTCACCATGCCCCGCATTTTTTTTGTATTTCTAGTAGAGATGGGTTTTCACCATGTTGGCCAGGCTGGTCTTGAACTCCTGACCTGAAGTGATCCACTCACCTTGGCCTCCCAAAGTGTTGGGATTACCGGTGTGAGTCACTGGGCCGGGCCCATGCATTACATAAATAAATTTTAAAAATTCATCAAAGTACCTCTGCATGTTGGCCTTCCTGTCCATCTGCTATTAATGCATGTTACAGTACTGGGTCCATCCATTTTGTAATTTGTTGCACAAGTATAAGTCACTTGCTCACCAGACTTATATGAATCCTTCTTCTCTCCCATGAGTATGGCATTTTCAAAGCTAGGTAAACTGAGACAATCTGTTTCTGAAATAGGAAAAATATGTATTTATTCAGCAAATCTTTAAAAACAGGTTATATACAGTGAATGTAATGTATTCTAATAATAGCGATATATAGAATCAATGAATACTGTACAATATTTTTCTTATAACTTGAGAAAATATACTAGCCATTTTCTCTTAATTACATTAAATTCTTCTAAATCTATTAAAAATACAAGATAGGAATGATATTAGAAGCCTCAAGAGATATTGGTAGCCATAGCACTTGAGATTACACATTTTTTGTTTCACATTATTATTGTCCATACTTGCCACCTGATATGGTTAGGTTTTGTGTCCCAACTCAAATCTCATCTTGAATTATAATCCCCAGGTGTTTAGAGAGAGACCTGGTGGGAGGTGATTGGATCATGGAGGCAGTTTCCCACATGCTGTTCTCATAATAGTGAGTGAGTTCTTACAAGATCTGATGGTTTAATAAGTGTTTGGAAGTTCCTCCTTTGCTCACTCCTCTCTCTCCTGCCACCTTGTGAAGAAGGTGCCTGCTTCCCCTTCAGTGGTAATTGTAAGTTTCATGACCCCTCCTCAGCCATGCAAAACTGTGACCAATTAAAATTTTTTCTTTTATAAATTACCCAGTCTCAGGAAGTTCTTTACAGCAGTGTGAGAACAGAATAATACACCAATTATGTGTGTACTGTATGTATTATTTCCAAATGTCTTGCTCCTGTCAAATGTGAAATATTTATAATAATTTTGTAAATATTTTAGAAAATATACTTATAGGGAGATTGTTGATAAACTGACAGAAGATTGAAAAATGATGAGATTGATGAGTAGAGGCAGCTGTGCCCTAAGAACAGAGATGAGAAGTCTGAGACTATACATCAAAGGATGCTTAAAGTTCACACAAGATGATGTGAAAATGAACCAATTTGGCTTATGAAGTCAAATGTTTTAATTACTAGAGTTATAATTTCCCACAACAATCTAGAATATTCAAGAAAACCTTATGAAATTCTAGAGTCACTGTTTTCTTTCTTATTGGTAAGACGTGCACTTTGAATGAAGAATATTTATCATATATATAATAAAATTCAATACACCATACTTATGCATGATGGAGGGTGAGACCATTTTTCTCCTAAGCATTTTGCAATTGGAGGTCCATCAATTCCAAAACCTTCAGAACATTTGTACGTAACTTCTTCTCCATACTGATAACTGTCTGATGTGTGAGCTACAACACCATGAGAAATCTCAGGTGGAGATTTACAAGGAAGGCCTAAAAAATAAAAAACAATGAATTCAGGTTTCACTAACTCAGAAATTTAATTTTATGTGCCTGTTTTTATATTAAGTAGTTTCATTTGAAAATATACAATACAGGAGCTACTATGACATCACAGAGAAGTACACAAATGTTTCCTAAAACCAGCCTTCTGCTGTCTGTCTATCTATCCGACTGTCACCAACTGAGGAAGGACTTGAAACTAAAAGTAGCAATATATTTCAGAAAGATATCTTCAATGCCTCGGTAAGCAATGCCTCTGTAAACTTACTAGTGATAATAAGATACACATTGAGGTTTAACGGTTCCAGGTAAAACATAATGTATTGTAGAAAATCAGAAGGGGCATTGTGGGAAGAATGTAAAAGAAGTTTCAAAACATAGTGGCAAAGCAAACATGACAACTTGCAGAACAGGTTTGGGTGTGTCCCCACTCAAATCTCATCTTGAATTGCAATTGTCATAATCCTCATGTGTTGTGGATGGGACCCGATGGGAGAAAATGGAATCATCAGGGCGATTATTCCTCTGCTGCAGTTCTCATGATACTGCGTGAGTTCTCCTGAGATCTGATGGTTTTATGAGGACCTTTTCTGTCTTTTCTTTGCACTTCTCCTTCCTGTCATCATGTGAAGAAGGACATGTTTGCTTACCCTTCCACCATGGTCGTAAGTTCCCTGAGGCCTCCCAGCCTTGTGGAATTGTGAGTCAATTACACCTCTTTCCTTCATAAATTATGCAGTCTTTGGTAGTTCTTTAAAGCAGTATGATAACAGACTAATAGAGTAAATTGGTACTGCAGAGAGTAGGGTGTTGCTGTAAAGATTATGAAAATGTGGAAGCAACTTTGGAACTGGATAACAGGCAGGGGTTAGAACAACTTGGAGGGGTCAGAAGGAGACAGGAGAATGTGAAAATGCTTGGAACTTCCTAGGGAATTGGAGGGCTCAGAAGACAAGAAGATGTGGGAACGTTTGGCACTTCCTAGAGGCTTGCTGAATGGCTTTGACCAAAATGCTTATAGTGACATGGACAATGAAGTCCAGGATGAGGTTGTCTCAGATGAAGATGAGGAACTTGTTGGAAACTGGAGTACAGATCACTCCTGTTATGCTAAGAGATGAGTGGCATATTGCCCTGCCCTAGAGATCTGTGGAACATTGAACTTGAGAGAGATGATTTAGGGTATACAGCAGAATAAATTTCTAAGTGGCAAAGAGCTCAAGAGGAAGCAGAGCATAAAAGTTTGAAAAATTTGCAGCCTGTAAATGCAATAGAAAATAAAACTTCATTTTCTGGAGAGAAATTCAAGCCTGCTGCAGAAATTTGCAAACATAATAAGCCAAATGTTAATCACCAAGACAATGGGGAAAATATTTCCAGGGCATATCTGAGGCCTTCATGCCACCCCCACCCATCACAGACCCAGAAGCCCAGGAGGGAAAAATGGTTTGATGGACCTGGATCAGGTCCCTGCTGCTCTATGCAGCCTGAGGACATGGTGTCCTGTATCCCAGCTGCTTCAGCTCCAGCTGTGGCTAAAAGGGGCTAACATGCAGCTTGGTCCATTGCCTCAGTGGGTGAAAACCCTAAGCCTTGGTGGATTATATGTAGTCTTGGCCTTGTGGGTGCACACAAGTCAAGAATTGAGGTTTGGGAACCTACAACTAGGTTGCAGAGGATATATGAAAATACCTGGATGTCCAGGCAGAAGTTTGCCACAGGGTTGAGCCCACATGGAGAACCTCTGGTAGGCCATTGAGAAAAGGAAACGTGGGGTCAGAGCCCTCACACAGAGTCCCCACTGGGGCACTGTCTTGTGGAATTGTGAGAACAGGGGCACAATTTTTGAAACCCCAGAACGGTAGATCTATCAATAGCTTGCACTATGCTCCTGGAAAAGCCACAGACACTCAATGCAAGCCCATGAAAGCAGCCGGGAGGGGGACAAAGCCACATCTGCCCAAGGCTGTGGGAGCCCACCTCTTGCATCGGCATGACCTGAATGTGAGACATAGAGTCAAAGGAGATAATCTTGGAACTTTAAGGTTTAATGACTGCCCTATTAAATTTCAGACTTCCATCAGGCATGTAGCCACTTTATTTCAGCCATTTCCTCCCTTTTGGAATGGAAGCATTTACCCAATGTCTGTATCCCCATTGTACCTAGGAAATAACTAGCTTGCTTTGGTTTTACAGGCTCATGGGCAGAAAGAACTTGCCTTGTCTCAGATGAGACTTTGGACATGAACTTTTGAGTTAATGCTGGAATAAGTTAAGATTTGGGGGACTGTTGGGAAGGCATGATTGTGTTTTGAATTGTGAGGACAAGAGACTTGGTATGCGACACAGTGGAATGATAGGATTTGACTGTATCCCCAACCAAATATCAATTTGAATTGTAGTTCCCATGATCTCCACGTTTTGTGTGAGGGACCTAGTAGAAGATACTTGAATAATGGGAGCAGTTATCCCCATGCTTCTGTTCTTGGGATAGTGAGTGTGTTCTCATGAGATCTAATGGTTTTATAAGAGGCTTTTCCCTCTTTGGTCAGAACTTCTCCTTCCTGCCATCATGCGTTTGCTTCTCCTACCACCATGATTGTAAGTTTTCTAAGACCTCCTCAGCCATGCAGAACAGTGAGCCAATTAAACTTATATATATATAAATTACCCATTATTGGGCAGTCCTTTATGGCAGCATGAGAATAATACAGACAAGTTTAATTTCACTAGATATTATTTTTTAATGCCAAAATGAAGAGTGATTCTATCATGAACAAATAAAATTAACATAAATAGAGTAGATTCAATCATGCAAAAAGTATTTTAATGGTATAATGCATAAATAATTTCATATAGTCAGTAATCTCAATTATTCTTTCCCCTCGTTTGATAACAAGAGATTATTTTTAATGAATTCTACTGTAAGCAGAAATTGAGTATTCATATTGTCCTAACCTTCACACTGAGGTGGAGAACTCCATTTTCCCATGTAGCATGTTATTTCATTTTCTTCAGATAGCCAGAAACCATATTCACAAGTATAACTCAATTTAGTTCCATGTGCATAACTTTCTTGTGAAGACCTGGATGAATTAATTGTTCCATGTTCTATCTGAGGTGGTTGTGAACATGGAATTTTTTCTAAATGAAGAATGAAAATCAAAGGGTCAAAAACAAATAAAATACTTAAATTGAAATATAAAATCAAACACTATTTTAGATTCTAAAGTGAGTATAATTTGAACAAATAAAATTATTTAAAAACAAAAACTTATTAGAAACTTGCAAAGATATATTCCTCTACCATATATATGTTACCATCCTCTTGTTCAATAATCCTCGTCATTCATGTCTTGTTCATCATGACAATTGAAATATGCATGAATGGAAATGTTATCTGATATTTACAAAATATTCCAAACATTTGGCTGTATTTTGTTCAAAAAACTGAGAGTGGTGATTGATTAATGTGCCTAGGTCCTAATTTATTTTGTCAGGATAAAGTAACAGATATAGAGAAAGAACTTCTCTCTTGTTTACATGAAGCACAAGAGAATATTAACCTCATTTGAAAGAATTATGTAAAACAAATTACACACTACTGACCAACACAGTGTGGTATTGACTGCCATCTTCCATCTTGGCATGTAATTTCTTCTCCTTCTTTAATTAGATAATTTTCTTGGCAAAGGAGAGATACTTTTTCTCCATCCCGATAATTCAATGTGGTTGTCATATTGCGAGAATTGGGAATCTGAGGTGGAGGTGGGCATAATTTTATTTGCGCCACTAAAAAATATTAAAAATATAATTAATTTCATAATAAAAATTAAACATAAAAATATTAAAATTAGGCTTTAGTTTAAAAATAACAATTTATATAATTAAAATAGAATCAATAGAAAAATTCAATATCTATGTTTCCTAAATCATCACATATTAATTATGATGTTCTTGTATGCAGATATTATACTTTTCAACTGTGTAACAGTTACATTAAGCAATAGAACTTTTGGCTTGTATTCTCATAGACTTTCTTGTAGTTTTTTTGTATATTTTTTGTTTAACAAATTTTGCATAATTTATGTAATATTGATTTCAATTATTTTGAGCCTTTAGAAAGTTTTAATAGAATTACACACTCTTAATTACATGCATTAAATAAAAATCGATATATATGATCAAATACATTAGGATTGGATTAAAACCCTCACAAATTTTCTGCCAATGGAATCTGATTAGCCAGAAGTAGAATTATATTTAGTTAATAATCAATTTGGTACTGACACTTGGCCAATATAAGCATTAAATATAATCATTAGTATTTATAGTGTGCTATTTAAAGCTTGAAACTCCAATAGAATTTTTATTTTCTAGCCTATCTGTACTGTTTAGGGATATTTAAATGGATGTTATGCACCCAGTTTAATGCATTGCACAGCCTGGCTTTCGTTATATAATCACATATAAGGACACCTTTGTAAGCTCACAGTTAAGCTCTTGTTAAACTGCGATACATCAGAAATATCTTATTTTTTCATAATATGAAAATGAAGCATGTCCTGCTTGACTGACGGGGGAGTTTAGAAGCATCTGGCAGCATTCAGCACTTTATTATCCCTTGATCTTACTTTCTCCTATTATAGTGTATGCTCTACTTCACCTAAAGCTTTCTGTCACTTTCTGTCAGCATACTCCAGGAAATCATGGCAATGATTTCAAGAGTCTGACATTTTGTTATCAATTCAGGGAGATGTTTGGGTGAATAAAACTTCATTAAAGGTTATTAGTAATGTCAAGTTTTCTTTTTTCACCTATGATAAAGTATTTCATATTTATCAAAAGTATTTTGCCTATTTCTGGTTTTCAATATTTTAATATGTTTTCAACATTCTCATCAATTTATTTTTCTTAAGATTAATGATCAACTATTTATGCTTGAATGATTCTGTCCTTCTATTTTTGTTAGGTGTATGTTCCTGTCTACCTTCTAGATCTCTGTTTCAGCTGTATCCCATTGATTTTAATGTGTACCGCAACCATTATTATTTAATTTAAAGTATTTTCTGATAGTAAACAATTGAGAAAGAGATTATTTAACAAATTTGTGAGCTGGGCAAATAAATTTAAAGAACATTGTGACCCAGTATAGCCTAATTCTACATTTAGTGTGTATGCATATTTTTATTTGTAAATATAACCATCAGCAAGGTAGATTATGTGCTGTGCAATGAAAAAACTGAGTGTTTCAAAATATTGAAAATTTCCCAGTATTCTTTCACACAGCATTAAACTAGAAACCAGAAAATAATCACTTATCTAGATACAACAAATATTTTGAAATTAAACAATAAACTTCTATATAATTGATCATCAACAGACAAACCACAAGACAAATGAGAAAATATTTCAAATCGAATAAAAATGAACTCTCTCTCTCTGTCTCCCAACACACAGAACATACACACACGCACACACACACACACACACACAGACATGTGTAACATTTTGGAACACAGCTAAAGCAGTACTTAAAAGGTTGGAGCTTTAAAGTTTTATATTTTCAAGGTATGATATTTTATGACCATGTTTTCATTTTTCACCCTAAGATTGAGAGAAGTGAAATTAAAATTGAAATCATTGGAAGGAAGAAAACAATAAAATCAGTGAAGAAGAGAAAACAGACAAAGAAACACAGAAAAGGGAGAAAATTAACAAAACTAAAATTAGTAAAATATAAAAAAGCTAAAAAATAGAGAGCAATGGAGAAAATTTAAAGGTATCAAAATTGGTTTTTGAAAATATTAATAAAATTGAAGACAAAGTAAAAACAATGACCAAGATTTTAAAAATGATCAATATTGAGTGTGAAAGAGGGCAGTGACATCAGCAAGATGGCAACATAGGAGTCACCACTCTCCCCCGCACAGGCACACTGATTCAATGACGATACTGGAACCAATTCCCTTTATGAGAAATCAAGAAACCAGGTCAGAGCCTCCTGTAACCCCCTAAAGTAAACAGAGACCAATATATTTTGGCTGCTTCTTCCTCAGAGAGGAAAGATAAGAGTTAACTAAATATTTATCATCCTAGCTTTTTGGGGAGCATTCTAAAGTACTGGTTTCTCTCTCGCTTCGGTAGGAGCACTTAATGATACCTGCAATACTCTAGTTTCCTGGGAGTAAAATAAAGAGCTAGGCATGGAGTGATGTCAGCAACATGGCAGAAGTGGAAGCTCCTGACTCTTCTTCCATCCAAGAATGTCCTAAACAGATATCTATTCATGAATGAACTCCTTCTGAAAGAAAATCAAAGACCAATAAAGGGACTCCTACTTACCAGGCAAGGAAGAAAACATTCACATTGAACAAGTAAGAAAAGTTACAACACAATGGAGCATGGACCCCAGCCTTGTTCACTGCACCACACAATTAGAAAAGGAATCTCAAAAAACCCAATTTCTCCTTGTGGAGAGGAGTTTTTGGATCTCACATAAAGCATCCAAAGTTTAACTTTCCTTTTCTTTGGCCTTTAATTCACTAATTTTGGAAGCAGAGGAGATTAGACACATGAGAATCCCTCTAGATCACAGGAAAAACAGTGGTATGATACAAGTGTTGAAGAGCTTCCAGAAATTTCATTCCTTAATAGCAGTTCAGAGAAGGGGTTGAAGTCTGAATTCTAAAAAAGTTGCAGTCTGGATTATAAAGAACTTGCATCAGGCACTTCTCTAGCTAGTTCCCATGGCTCACCCCAGTGACAAATCCAGGTACATTAATCACTCTTAGAACAAGTTTGTCCACACAAAACTTGAGTGCTCTAACTTTTACAACTTTCATTCAGGGACTGTATTCTAAAGCTCTTAGTTCTGGGAGTAGAAGACACAAAATATATCCAGAGTCTATCTAGAACACAGAAAAAAGAAATGGCAGTTTTTTATGGGTTTGTAAGCACTTCCAGGAGCTTCATTGTCCAAGAGCAGTGCAGAGAAAAAGTTTTTAAAATGCAGCTCCCTGTTTATCCTCAAAAAGGTTTATGTCATCCATCAAGTGCTGCAACCTTTACAGTTACCTCTAAAAGCACTCCTCTTAAAACTCTTAATTCTCACAGCAGAGGATACTGGAAATATACCAGTCTCCCTAGATCATAAAGCAAATAGGTAGTCTTAAAATGCTATGTAAAAACTCCAGGCACCATGCCAAATTGGAGCAGAGCAGAAAAGGGAATAGAAAGTTCAATTTCCACTTCTCTGTAGAAACAGCTTAGGGCACATACTTCCACTGGCTACTTAAGGAACTGGCTTCTAGCGAGCTTGTACAGGGCATCTAACGATGCAAACAAACAACAATCTTCCTGCAGCCAAATCCAAAGTTTGGCACTTCATGAGTCTCACCCCAATGATAAAATCAGATTTATCCATTCTTCCCAGACCAAGTTTAGCCATGCAGTCAAATGTCATTACTTCTATAGCTCTGACTCAAGAGATTGTCTCCTTAACAAACTCACACTGGGAGATGATAGATATTTGCATTCCTGAAAGGCCCTACATCTCAGAATACAAAAAGCTGATAATACAATGGACTCATTTCAAGCAGCTACCCCTTCAGGATCAGAGTATGCAGCCTGAATATTAGTACAGGCATTTACCACAGATTCTTTACTTGGTGCAATACAGAGAGAGTGGGAGATTAACATGCACATTCACTTTCACTATGAAAGTAGAAAGAAGTAAATATACAGCCAAGTCCTCAGTATTTTCAGCTACATCTAGACAGCCTGGCTCCTAACTTATTGGTGCCAAGTCCTGAAAAGATGTGGTGCATTCTAACCTCCAGGGTGGCACCGAAACTAAGAGACAGCAGTCTGAACAAAGACTTGAGAGGCACATGAAAATCTCTGGCTGGAAAAATTAGTGAGATCTTTCTCCTATATGAAGCCAGTCTGATGAGACTGAGAAAGGCCATTGTCTCATCTATTGCATAGAAACACAGTGAGTTAAAGGTAATAAAGAAATAAGAGAATATACTCCAAACAAAAGAACAAGATGAGTCTCCAGAAATTAACCTGAGGAAAGTGGATATAGGTGTTTTACTCAAGAAGGAATTCAAAATAATGGTCATAAAGATATTCACTGAGACCAAGAGAGCAATGCAAAAACAAATTAACTACTTCAACAAAGAGGTAGAAAGTATTTTTTAAAGTACCAAACAAAAATCACAAATTTGAGAATACTATAACTGAATGGAAAAGTTTTAAGGAGGTATTCATCAGCAGATCAGACGAAGTAGAAGAAGGAATTAGTGAACTTGAAGGCAAATTACTGAGAATCACCGAATCTGAGAACCAAAATAAATAAATAAATAAATAAAGTGAAGACAGCTTAAGATCCAGATGAAATATCACCATGTGGAATAATGTATGCATTATCAGCATGTTAAAAATAGAAAGAGACACAAAAATACAGAAAATGTATTCAAAAAAACAATGATAGAAAACTTTCAACAACTGGGAAAGAAATAGAAACTGACATCCAGAAATCTCAAAGGATATCAAGTAAGTTTAATAAAAGATAGTCATTTAAAGACATAACACAATAAAATTATCAAAATATATAGATGAAGTGCTGAAAAAAGCCAATGAAAAGTGAATGGTTACATAAAATGGAATTTCCACAAGACTATTAGTGGATTACTCAACAGAAACCTTGCAGGTCATAAGGATGTGGAATGATATACTCAAAATTCTGAAAGAAAATAACTGTCAACCAATAATTCTAGATTCCACTA